AACTCGCTATCTGTCGAACCAATGCTTCGTTTCAATCAAAACTTTCTTTTGAAGCCTCAACGGTGCTGACTTTTGTCAAGGTTCTTATACAACACGGGCAAACGATCTATCCAGGTGACTTGCCCATTTTCGGCTTCGGAGATAGCATCGTCAACCTGATATAAAGTTCCTACATGGATTCGCCTTTGGGCACCTTATGAACGTTTTCCATGTCCTGCATTTTACACTCGAGGTGTGTCCCTCGGTATACTCTACCCTTGCTGTATCAAAGTCGCCCTTTCCACTTTTCCAAGCCATATGGCGCGTCTCGAGGATCTCCCGTACGAGCTTTGGTTGATCATTATGAAAGGACTAGATCCTTTGTCGACCATCCATTTCGCTCAAGTGTGCCCACGAGGCTACGCAGTGCTGTGCGGATTACCCCAGAAACAGCGATATGATGAAATCGCACGAAAGATTGGCCACAAGAACATGGGTCTTATTCAGGCCCAAGATGCATGCCAAGATACTGTCGGTAGATCATTCATATACACAGGAAAATACGAAACACGCGACGAACGCATTCAGCTGGCATTATCACAATTGAGGTCGTGTATCGCCGGGGAAGCTCCACGCTACGGCAAAGGCTGGTTACTGGCCTACTTGGAGGACTCAAAGAAGTTGGACAATTTCAATGTCATTATCACGGTGTGCAACTCCTTCATTAAGCTCGTAGATCGGCGACTACTTGCGTTAGGGAAGCAATCTGTTCCGTCCGCACTTCGGAAAAGATTTCTTGTTGCCCTGGTGGTTTTGAGAAGCCTCAACAGCGCCCAATGTGAGCTAATGGCCCAGCTAGCCGAAGAGTTTGGTATCTGGGCATGCGAAGGGTTCAAGCACCTGGTCTACGCTTACCCGAGTCGGCAAGCTGCCTTGACGCAACTTTTTCGCTTCATGGGTCTCCGATATGGACACCTTACGTCCGAAGAATACTGTTTTCCATGTTCCAGTCCCATTAACGGTGCCGGTGAGCCGGCTCTGGACGCAAACTGAGACTGCGCGCCGTTCAATCTTCTCTGGTGTGGTCCCCAGCAGGCAGGTGTACAGTGGGATCCGCTTATTTTCACCTCGCCGACCTTGTTCCCCATCGACTTTCTCCGTTTGTACTTTGTGCAAGACGGTCGGTAAACTTGGAAAATAGAACGGTCTTTTATCTTTCCACGTTGTAGCAGCTGTAATAACCATGCGGTGACATATACTGTCCAAATTGTAACGGGATCGTGGAGGAGAGTTAGGGACAGACAGCAACGAACAGACAAGATTTGAATCACAGCCTCGTACTCGCAATGAATGGATTTCTCCTATGTACAAGTAGCAGACACGGATGTTGTCAACTCCAACCACTTATCTTCAGGCAGCTGCAGGACAAGTCGTAATGGTGTAGGAAAAACACGTTCTCCAGACGCGGCGGCACGAGCAGAATTCCTTGTTAAAGTGGTTGTCGCTCGTTTCACAGCCGAGCGCTGGGAACGTAGAGCCTGGCTTCTCAAGACCGTTGGCAGCGCGTTAACATGAGAAAACGTCTGCGAGATAAACTTAGCTGTGATCATCGATACACAACTTCTCGATACAATTGCAGCATGGCTTGCCCCTCTCTTTCAAGCAAGAGCACCTGTCGCAAACTTCGTGGAGGTTGAATTCTCGCAAAGCTTCCTTCCCTTGTTCCGTGTTGTAGAGAAAGTCCACGCAGGCGTCACACCGCATCTTCCAGAATGTAGAAGGGTTGATCTTCCAGAGCATATGCTGCCTGTCGGGGAACTTGTGACGCGGCTTGACACTAAAGCAGGCATAGCACGCAAACCTCGGGACGGAGGAAGTATCGAAATCAGCGTCTACGCGAAACCAGTCGACTCCGGGTTCCCGCCGCCTAACGAATTGAAAGCGCTTGTGAAGAGGTACCCACTTCGTCTTTATGGTGTGATTCATATGACGATTGGTCTGAAGAAGGTGTATCGCGTCGATCATGTCGAGGTTTTGGACAACCACCTCGAGCACGCCGGAGGGAAGTCTTTGGATAGGCGGACGGGAAGAGTTGGAGGCATACTTACAGACCGTGGACTCTATGACCCCACCAGAAACTCTTGCTGACTGGTCGATCTCCTCCGTGGACTTCGTTACGTCTGATTTGCCGGTTGTCGTAAGCGGGTAGACTTCATGTTGGAGACGGCATCGCATCGATTTAGTTTGCATACGACCACATTTGTGGCAGAGACAGAAGAACTCTCCATCTTTTCTGACTGGTTGAAGGTGCTCATATAGCCTTCCTTCGATGGCGCATGTCCAACATCGCCGCAGGCCCAAGCGGCTCATCTTGGCTCCCCTCTTGTCTTGCTTGCTCTTGCGCATCCGGTCTCCAAAGGCCTCTTTCGGGAGAAATTGCTGACAGCCAAAGCATGCCCATTTTTTGGTCTTGCCAACATAGAGACCCAGGTCAACTTCTCCGATGAACCTGTTCTGGACCGACCGGGGCAACAGGGTTCTGGGGTTGAGATTTTGGTGGAAAAACTTGTTGGTGACGGACATTCTCAGGACGTCTCGGTATTGAAGATGGGAGGATATGAGGCAATGAATGTCATGTGGCAGGTCCTGAAGTTGGCAGGACGGAGCTTCGTTATTGCAGCAGTCGTCGAGATCCTCCCCTTCCGCTTCCATTCGTCGATACACCTCTGTCGATGGGTTGGATACAGTCTCTACCATATTGACGATTGTTGGAAATGACCTGGTTCGATATTATTGCTATCTTCGGTTTCTGAGAGACACCGGATTCTGTCGATCAACCAATGGCGCATCCAGATACTGAGATGTCGAGGACCCAAGGGCGTCGTGTAGCAGCCATCAGAACAGCAATTGCTGACTCTTTGGCTGCCAGTAGTCCTCTGTATTTTGATGCAGGTTGATTTCAACTCAAACATGACTAGAATCTTCCATGAGTCAAATCTTACGCGCCCTGGCATGCACATCTCGGCACTGCACCAACTCCCCTCGCTTCTGCCTATTCGTCCCACCTTTCTTGACCGTTCTCATTTGAGGAGAGCGGCCGGGCGTCGGGCGAAGTCTTAATGCAATGTCCATTTGAGGTGCAAGTCAATTGGCTAAAAATATGGTCCCTCCTCTGAATCAATCATCCAAGAAGGGGCACATCAACCTACCGACCGCACGACCGACGAATCAGCCCCACCCGGTGCCGGCAACCGATCAAGAGCGGGCCCAACTGTCCCGGCAAGACTCCCGAGGCTCTCGGTCCCTCGGAACTCTGACCTCGTTCCTTTCTTCTGCTGTCAATCCCTCACAAACACGTCCCGGGATGCAACGCTGAATTGAATACCCCAAGCCTCGGCAGCCCCTGACGGCGCATTGCGGGGTCACGGCCTCCCACCTTCCCCCGTAAACCAGATTTCCCCAAAACAGTCGACACCAATATCTCCTTCCTTTTCAAACCTAGACATATACCACCAATCGTCTGTCATAACTAATCTATCCTTCGCAAAGCCAAGAATCAGCCGCCGGCCTCAACTACCGACCACCGTTGCCGACAATCAGGGACGGGTAGTACCCACCAGCGAATCGCAACGTTCGCCCTAAATAGCCGCGCAGCCACGCGGATGGTATGCAACGCCAACTTTGATGTGCCCCTCTTCATTTGCGTCCGAATCTGCGAACTGTGTATCCTCGCCTTGGAAAGTGACGATGGCCGAATATCAGGGCACATCTAGACCTTCCAATCTCGTTCCTTCAGTTGAGCCGAGGCCGGTGACTTGGCTAAATCGGCGTTGATCCTCCGTGACAACTTGGCAAAATCTTCGAGGAGATTATTTGTCTATAAAAGACTCCTGACTAGCCTTCGTAAGGAGGTCCATAAGCAGGCACTACCACGAGCCCAGCAAAACATCTAAGCAAACGCCAAATTCACACAATTCTCGCAATGTTGTCCTCCGCCGTGCTCTTCGCCTCCTTCTTGGGCGCAACCAATGCGGCCCTCCAGCGCGTCACAGACTTCGGCTCCAATCCAACTGGCCTAACGATGGATATTTCCGTACCACCGAACCTGTCCTCTTCGCCGGGTATCATTCTCGCACTCCACGGTTGTGGCGGCTCAGGCTCGGCCTACTCCCGTCAAGCCGAATACATCCCTCTGTCTGACTCAAAGGGAACTTTCGTCGTGATTTACCCCTCATCCACCAAGGACTTCAACTGCTGGGACGTTGCATCGACCAAGAGTCTCACTCGCGATGGCGGCGGCGACTCGAACGGTCTGGCCAACATGATCCGCTACACCATCAGCAAGTACTCCGCCGACCCCACAAAGGTCTTCGTGACGGGAAGCTCGTCGGGCTGCATGATGACCAACGTCCTGTCGGCCACGTACCCGGATCTCTTCGCCGCGGCGTCTTGCTACTCCGGTGTTGCGGCTGGGTGCCTCGCTGGTTCTCCTGGATCGAGCCCCATCAGCGCCGACCCGCGTTGCGCAAATGGGCAGATCATCAAGACAGGCGCGGAGTGGGCTGCTCAGGTACGCGCCATGTATCCCGGGTACAACGGTAGCTACCCGCGTATGCAAACGTTCCACGGCACAGCTGATACTCTGGTGACGTACCCCAATCTGGCGGAGCAGCTGAAAGAGTGGTCTACAATACACGGAGTGAGCTTTACCAAGAACAATACGAACACACCTCTCAGCGGATATACGCAGATTGTCTATGGAGACGGGACCAAGCTTGTAGGAATTTCTGCCCAGGGTGTTGGACATACTGTACCTGTACAAGAAGATCAGGATCTAAAGTGGTTTGGCTTGTGAACAGCCACGTTGGTAGATTTGGATGAAAATTGGTACACATTAGTCTGCTTTTCTTGAAATGCATGACAATACGAACAGCATTTACAGCAAGTAGTAGGAATGTAAGAACTCTGCCTTGAATGGCAGCCGCTATCAATACAGAAATGGAATGCTTGGCCGACAGCGGTTAGAACATCTCCCGGAAATGGTAAAAAACATTGTCAACATAGGGGTTCGGCATGCCAGTTGTCGTTGGGGTCAACTCCGCGCTGGATACTCCTCCAAAGCTGTCATCCCCTGTAGAGTAGCCGTTTAGTCCCATATAGCCTTCAAAGATCCTGCTCATCTCGGTTTGGATACGCGTCCCGTTGCTTGGTGATGGAATGCCATCCATGTTGGACGTTGGCTGCGGTTGTGGCATCGCAGGTGCCGCCGATGCCATTGAGCGGCCATATGGTGCGATGGGTCCTGGGTCTGTTGACAGGCGGCCGGTCGCAAGCCCAGCCATAGCGAGCGCAGCAGAGTTGTGTGGGTCTTCGTCAGCCTGATTGCGGAGGCCGATGCTTGGGGCGACTTCTTTGAGAGAAGAAATGGTGCGCCACAGACGCTGGGATACCCAACTCTTCGCAGATAGATCCTTGACGAGTTCTAGAGCCATATAAAACTCCTCGCGGACACTGGCACTAAACTTGACCGGGGCGTGAACGGCAGCCAGGAAGAGGACAGAGATGGCCGAGGTGAGAAATTGATGGTAAAAGACCTGGATTTTGCGGTACATATTTGTGGTGTTGTTTAGATGGTTGAGTAGTCGAATCGTATCTTTCGCCAAGTCAACAACGCGTTGGGCCTGGACAGTGTGGCTCATGATGCTAGTAGCGCTATGCAAGATCGGGGTGTAAAGCCAAGTGCGGATCTGAAGCTAAGTCAGTCATCATCCGTCAGCAGCGAGTCGCTGGAGCAAACATACCTGGTTGAAACGAAGATAGGTCCAAACCCGAAGCCTTTGCAGGTTGTAAGACGGGGTCATGTTCAACTTCTTGTCCTTATCCCAGTTGCGCATCCTAACCTCCTCAGGCACAGTCTCGTACCAGGACAGAATTTCCTGGTCCAACCGCTCCATATCCTCATGGTGGAGTTCTCGGGCAAGAACAGGGCCAAAATGTGCCACTTGACGCCAAACCTTGGCACCCAGTCTTGAATAGGTGACCATGGCAGCCAGAAATGGGAATTGCTCCTTACAAACATCAGTTCATGCGTCATTCTGGGGTACAAGACAACTTACAGGCAGCGGCAAGTCCGGATCGATTTCCTCGTCCGGGACAACAAATGGCAGACCCGTTGCGAAAGCCCACCTTCTGTCGAGAACGTAGGCCGACCAAAAACTGCTGAGGGCAGTCTTGCGCTCTTCCTCATCCTTGATAGCCATGAGACCTTGTTGGCGATGAATGCCCATCTCCAAACACAGTCTGGTAACTTGACCCATGACGCGCCATGCTGCGATCTCTTCGTTGGCCAAGAACTTGTAGCCAGCGAGCAGACAGAGCGCTGGCAGGCTGGTGAAGTCGACAGGGTCCACCATCAGCTTGCGGTTGACAACGGCGTCCATGCTATCGATCAGCTTGATGGCTTTTTCGCTGTGACCGTGCTCCTCCACCACGAGAGCACAACACATGACAATCTTGAGCTGAAGAGTCTTGTCATCATTGATTAACGGCATGGCGCCTTGCTTCCTTGCCGACTCCATGTAAGACCAAAGGTTGCGAACATGCTCGATGACAGACGGAATATTGATGACAGGGTACATGATGCCAACCTCCTCCTCGTGAAGACGACACAAACGAATCATCTCATCCTGGGTGAAGTTCCATAAGGGGTCAGTGGGGTTCTCCTGGGGTCCAAGGCGAAAAGGGCTGTCCTCGGGCATGGCAAACGGAGCATTCTGGTCCTCGGAATCCCCGATGCCTTTGTAGCCCATGTTGTGGATGGTGTTGTTTGCAACGTCCATATTGAAGGCCATGCTGGTAGGGCCACGGAAGGGTGCCTGCTTTGGTTTGGTCAACTCGGGCCGGTGGACGGAAGACAGCGAGCTGGCTGGTGACGCCTGGACGGTGCTCGAAGGGAAAGGTAATACTTTGTCTTGGATGGGCGCAAGACGCAGCGTTTCGGAACGGAGGGCATTCATGCTTTGGTAGAGATTGTCAACCTGCTCCTGTAGCCGGGCCATCTGAGTCGTCATGCTCTTGAACTCATCCGAGTCCTTGAAGTTGTTGGAGCAGCAGTTGGGGGCGTACAAGCACGCCAGGTTGAGGTTGCCGCATCTTTGGCAAGGAGTTTCGCCATTGCACTTGATTTTGCGTCTCTTGCATTCGTTGCTGCGAGGGGAGGAAGCGTGTTAGTGATTTGGAGTTCGTGCCATGATCCATCGAGACAATCGCCGTGTAGACGAGGTATAAGTAGAGCTAGGCGGTCGCATTGCGCCGACGGATTGCTCCAGCGATGGATGATTCCGGCAACGATGTGGCACTCGAGAGGTACGAAGGGACTGGAGGAAACCTTACCAGGCTATCGAAATATACTGTCACAACCGCAATCAGCGTCCCCAAGTTCCACAAAGTTTACAGAGGGGGGTGGGCATGGCACGGGGAGGGAGAGAGTGTGTACGAGAGGACGTGACGGGAAGAGTCCGCGTCGGTCTGGAGGGGACGTGGGTTGAGGCATGGCAGACGACAAACAGCCGGCCATGCGCACCAACTCCAAGAGGACGGCAACAAGCTGGAGAGACAACGCACCCTATTCCGTTTGCTTCGCTGCTGCTTGGCTGCAGCACCTTCGTCTTCAGACTTTCTTTTATTGCCTCCCGAGACGGAGGGAGTACCACCAGAGGGACCTATCGAGGCGCGGGCTCCCCCTGCCGAGTTCGCGGAATTGTCTCCGGGGGTCGCGGAAAGAGGAGAATGGGCTTGTTGATTGTGTGGAGAATAAGCAGAGGCAGCGCGGTCGGGTGGCAGAGGAACGGCTGCTTGGGTCAAATAGTGCAGGTCGCTAACCTGCGACTCGATCTGGTCCATTGCATTGCGAGGCACCCGCGGCCGGTTTCCTCTGGTCTGCTATGCTTTTCGTGAGCCGACAGTCGAGTCGCGATCCAGGAGATGGAGACAAGCGAGTAATGGTGATTTTTTGCCTGCGCCCCCCCTTGCCCGCCCAGTCCAGCCCAGGTTCAGTCAGCCAGGTGCCTCCTCCAGCGGGCTTAGCGGTAGCCTCACTGATTCCGCTGCGACGGTGCACGTGACCGGCCCGGATCCCGGCTGTCCGTCGCATCCGGCCCAGCACTTGGCTGGGAGAGCCCATTGTAATTGATATCGTCGGCGACTGATTGGGCACTATTCGCGATATCCCGGTCAAGTCGCGATGAGTGTCGCACTGTGACAATCACCAGCTACTATATGTTTCGCGGTTAACCGTCGCACGCCAGATCGATTGCACAGTGTACACTGCAGATCTTGAAGACGGCATTGACATCATCTCGGGACTCTGGGTCTGTGACTGAGTCAAGACGAGGAAGCGCGCAGAATTGTGTGATGTGATTACTGCCTGACCCAAGGCGCTCTTTCGTAGTGCAGGCTGAGCAGTGCGGTTGATTCAACCCGCTCCTACACCGGGTATCTCATCTCTTGGCAGCGACGATATCCAGATTGCGCTTATGCGCGTCTGATCAAGCTGAGCACCCTTCTGGCATCTCGGGCATCTTCATCGGCTACCTCAACGATGGTCTTTGCCTTTTTGCTTCAATTCAGCTCGGCAGCCTCAAACATAATGGCCCGCTGTAATTGGGCCGACGGCTTTGCCGCGAAGACACCAGGATTCAATTCGTCAGATCTGCGTGTGGCTGCTGATGTCCGCCTTACGTCGTGAAGGTTTGTCCAGATTAGGACAGCTGTAATATGAAAGAGTCTAGTTCTCATCTCGCGCAAACAAGACATGAGACTATGCGTTCGATCATGAGCTTCAACGGGTTGCGTGGCCTACCTAAGTTACGATTGTGTAGCCTTGAAGCTGTATAAGATCCGGTGGTTTATTCACTAGAATCATGAATAGCTCCTGGCTTCAGCAAGTCAAGATATCAAGCATCGCCTCCTCTTTCTGACCATTATTGTATCATCGCTGTCAGACCTGCGCAATGGCTCCCATTTACGCCGACCATCCATTCCCTTTGGTGTCGACACCAATCCCGCAGCTTCCAAAAGATGAGAAGGCAAGTCATGTCCAGCAGCACATCACACAGAAGCGAAACTAACATGGCGAAACAGCCGACGATGTTCCACAGGATGGCGTCTGAAATGGCCTTGGTTCACAACTGCATTCTCCGAGGTCTCAACGCCATCTACCTGCAAGCTCCCCATATCAAGCCCGAAGACGAGTTCAGCTTCGCGAATTATATGCACCAGTGGTATCGCATGATTCGCGCGCACCATAGCGGAGAAGAGCGCCTCTTTTTTCCGGCAGTAAAGAGACTCACAGGCATCGTTGGGTTTATGGACGTCAACATCGAACAGCACAAAAGCTTCCACAACGGCCTGGAGTCCTTCGCCCAGTACATCAAGGCTCTCATCGCGCGGGAAGTAGCCTACGACGGTAACAAGGTCGTTTCTCTAATCGACCGCTTCGGGAAGGATTTGTGTCTTCATCTCGAGGAGATTCCCACCATCATAAGTTTACAAAATCTCGGTACTGAGAAAATGGCGCCAGTCGAGAAAATCTTCGCACAAGAAGCCCAAGAGGTCATGGTATGCCAACTATTGATTACCGCCTCCTGTGCAACAGCTGACATGGAGTAGCAAGAAATGGGTTTTCTAGATGGCTTGCCTTGGGCTTTGACTACCATGGACAACGCATTTGAGGGAGGTCTGTGTGCAGACGTCCCGCCGGACCCTGTCGGCAGATTGATTCTCAAGATCGTTCGATATATTACCTGGTGGCTCCATCGCGACTGGTGGAAATTTGGCGCGTGCGATGGGAACGGGAACATGCAGCCGTTGTATGCTTGGAGAGACGGTAAGCAGTAAAGTTGGCGTGTCGCAGTGTGCGTCACTTGCGAAATGCGTGAGGAATGGCGTTGTGTTCTGATTTAGATATTTATTCGCAAGTATTATTATGCGGAATAGAATTGGTCCTGGGCTGCAAAGCCTATCTTCCTAGATGAAAGTGCCGTACGGATACCATGAAATGTCGAAGACAATATGTCGGAGCCAATGAGATCTCAGACGATGTCCCGCAGATACCTTATGTAATCGAGCGTGTGGTGGGGTTCCTAATTCTGCCGCGCCTCACCGCCAAAAAGTTTCTTGAAGCCCAGAAATTTCGCCTGTTGAATTCTGCCGTAATCGCCATACAGCTGGACTTGCGACGGACGACAAAATGGCCGCCCGTCGAAGAGCATCTGAATGGGAAGAGCAGCTGCCCAAGGGTATGCAGTCCGGTCGACTTCACATCCATCATTGACTGATTTAAATGCGCAGATCTTGATCCCGAGGCCGAGCCCGTCGACGAGAGTGAGAACGAGAGCGGCAGTGGTGAGAGCGAAGATGAGAACGTCGGCACGGAGCATTATGTTACTGTCGGGTACGCCATCGAGAAATAATGACACGGGCTTGAGAATCAATACTGACGGGTGTTGCAGAAAGAGCAAGCTCCGCGAAAAGGAGGGAGTCTCACTCGGTCCTCAGTACCGCGGCGCGCGCGTCAGCCGAGATGCCTTGAACGACGAAAGCGACGGCAGCGATGTTTTTGAGGATGCACAGGAGCAATTCGACTCTAACAACGAAGAATACGACGATCCCGAGAACGCTGATTTGGCTGCGGACGAGGCGGCCGCCGGCGACGAAGATTTTGAAATCGCGAGCGACAATGCCCTTGGCGAAAGCGACGACGAGAAGCTCGACGAGTTCGTTTTCCGTGGCAGCTCACAGCCGAAAGATAAGAAGAAGGGTGGTCGCAGCAAGAGACCTACTGCCGCTGACTTCATTTCCGACGAGGAAGAGGGGGGGCTGGAGGATAACGAGGACGAGGAGGATGAGGAAGATGACGACGAGGAGGGCGGCATGGATCTCGGCGACGAGGAAGATGATGACGATGACGATGACGAGGATGGGTTTGAAGGCAGCGAAGATGACCTGCTGGCCGACCTCGAAGGCTCCGAAGACGATGAGGGCGATGACGGTGACGATGACGGCGACGAAGATTCGGAGGAAGACTCTGACGACTCCGACGAAGACTCCAAGCCCCGCCGCAAGTCCAACAAGGCCGATGCCAGAGCCGAACAGCGCAAGCTGATGAGCGAAGGCCAAAAGGCCCTCTCGGCAACCCTCTCCGCCGCAGCGCAACAAGACGCGCAGAAGGGTGTCGCCGTCCGAGAGCAGCGTAAGACCTTTGACGGTCTGCTCAACATCCGCATCCGCCTCCAAAAGGCCATCGTCGCCAGCAACTCGTTCTCCGTCGTCGACACCGACGACTTTGAGCAGAACTCGGAACCTTACGAGGCCGCCGAAGAGGCCGCCCTCAAGCTCCTCAACACCCTCGACAGCTTCCGCGCAAGCCTTCTTCCCGCGGGGCTTGCCCAGGCTGGAGAAAAGCGCAAGCGCAGCGAAGTCGACGCGTCAACCTCTAGCGAGGACATCTGGGAAGGCATCCAGGAGACCGAGCAGCGTGCGCTCAAGTACCGCAAGAAGGTTCTCGAGACATGGTCCACCAAGACCCGCAGCACGACCGTCGAGGTCAAGACCCGCAACCTCATCTCCCAGCAATCCATCGTCGCCTCTCTGGAGGAGCAGCTTCTCAACACCGACCGCTTGATCAAGCGCACGCGAACCCCCCGTTCCTGCGCGCCGGCGCAGGTCGCAAAGAAGCTCAACGAGGACCCCGAGATTTACGACGATGCCGACTTTTACCAGCTCATGCTCAAGCAGCTCGTCGAGCAGCGCACCAATGACAATGGCTCGACCGGCGCCGCCGCGCAGCCGACGGTCAGGTGGGCGGCCATGAAGGAGGCCAAGACAAAGAAGCATGTCGACAGGAGAGCGAGCAAGGGCCGCAAGATGCGCTTCAACATCCACGAGAAGCTGCAGAACTTCATGGCGCCTGAAGATCGCAGAATGTGGGAGCAGGATGCTGTCGACAGACTGTTCGGCACCCTGTTTGGACAGAGGATGGGGCTTGGCGAGGAGGCTTCCGATGAGGAGATGGACGATGATGTTAATGCCGAGGAGGAGGGTCTCAGGCTGTTCAGGAATTAGGGAACGGAAAAGTTTTGTCTGTATAAAAGTGAAGATATCCCAATAGAAAGGAGGCGCCTGTAGACTGCGCCACCTGCCTGCAACGAACACCGGTGTTCTTTTGAGGCCATCCCATTGGACGGCGTGAGACTGCAAACCCCGTGACAAACGTTCGTTGGCGAGCTTTCTTGGACATCTGAGGCCGTGGAGCCAGTTTTTCAGGGCGCCAGTGCACCATCAACTTAACTTCGGCCAATGCTGAACTGCGTCGCAAAGGCCTCGCCAATCATCGCGTTGTATTTGGCAAGAGAGGTGTAACTGATGACCTTCGCATCATCGGATTGGAACACTAGTCGAAAACTGCAAACCCTGATAATCACTCTCCCTCACTTATCCTATGATAGCAGCACCGACAAATGCCAGGAACAACACGGCGTGCGCTCCAAGATGCACCGCAGGCCCTCCCAAAGTCTTCACCTGGCCGCTGCCTGTGCCGTCCACCCGGGAATCTGCCAATCGCACATAGGCGCGATAGCACGGCCAAACGTGCCAAAACGACAATGAAGCCGCCACCAGCCTGCTCGTGTCATCGAAGTTTGGTCGCCACAAGAACACTAGGCAAATCAGATTCGTGCTCAAGAGCAGGCCACCAAATGACTGCAGCACGAGTTGCGCGGCGGCGGAGGGCTTGGGCAGCTGGCTTTGCGGCTTCAAGATGAACGACGATGCCCCCGCGGTCTCAACCAGTGCGTGCAGAAGAAAAGGGATCTTGGAGAAGAGCATGGTTGATAGCTGAAGAGCAAATTACAGTAGCTCGCATTCGTTTGGTCGGCCGGAAGGTTAGAGGCTATACGTGACCGAGTCAACGCCGTGAATTGATGACCGGTCGCCGAGGGAAACGTCCGGAGAGTCCGGGTCGGCGCCGGCGAGACACAAAAGTCGGCGTGGAGCAACTCAACTGCCCGAGCGGAGAGATTGCCGGGGATAGCGTCGCCTTCCGAGTCCAAAGCTCCTCGGTGTCAAATGAAGGCGGGCAGATGTCAAAATATTGAGTGTCGGCGGAAGTTAGCCTCGGGAAGTTTAAACTTTGACTGGACACGTTCCAGAAGACGGCTGGGCGGCAAGGGAGCGGCTTTCCTGGGCAAACATCAGCGAATTGACTGTGAAGTGAGCAGATGTCGCTTCGTCGGCTCCCGTGGTTGCTGGTCAGCTCCATTCTAGGGCGTCTGACTGGCTGTTGGGGCGTGGTATTCTGGAGTCATGCGCAAGAGTACCGCAGCAGGGTGTTTGATTACGCCTCCATGACCGCTTTGTGATTTATGCTGACGTTCTCTCGCTATCCATTACGTTTGGGGAAAATAACGACCGATTCGCAATGTCGGCGAATCTCACAGGCCTGGGTACCTGGGTTAAACTCTCTCGTCAGAGCTTCAATGCCATGCAGGGGAGCTCCCGCAGTGGCCCAGCCACCTGCCGCAACGGGCACGCGAGCTAGGAGCTAAACCATGAATCATGACGCGTGCTGCCCACAAGGAGGCGCGCGACCTTTTTTTTTTTTTTTTTTTGGGGGGGAGGGGGGGGGGGGGCATCATCTGAGAGAGACCTGTCGATCACAGCTCGCGGGCCGAGGCCGTGAGTCCTCGTGGGAAACAGAAGGCAATTGCAACGACAGAGGCCAAAACGACTTGTTAAAGTGTTTTGCTCTTTGAGGTTGGTTCAGATGGAGGAATGCATCGGATGAGGCTTGCGGGAGGAGCTGGTTCTGCCGCCTGTCATACGTAATGAGACGAAATGCTCTGTGCAAGAAAAAGCCAGAGCTTCAACGACCTCACACTCCAACCAACCACCTACCCGTCCTCCATCAGGCAAAGTCAATGGCAACTCCCGCTCGCAATCTTGCATTGTCACACGCAAGCAAACACTCACACATTTCAACCTCCTTGATGCTCTTACTGCATGATGAGTTGATCTTGTCGGGGATGATCGATGGGCAGAGGAAGACCCATGTTCTTCCTCCTATATAATCTCTCATACAGTGAGTTATCTGCAGGCTATTGAGGTTATTGATCATATTCTTACGAACCTGGATCGAAGCTTTCCTGGTTATTATAAACAGTACCACGATGCTTAGTAGGTATTTATCATAGCATAAACAGAATTTTCATAGTGTGGCGTAAACCTCCACAAATTGGATGTGGCTGGAACTCAAAGGGTAGAAGATGATGCTCTTACTGCATAATAGTACCATCGCGACTTTTTAGCAACAGCCCCAGACGACACGAGCTTCGCGCTTGCTTGCCAACCAACGTACCTAGCAGGGGTGCAAGCTAAAGGTAAAGCGTGATAAGGGCTTCCAGGTTCCTCTAACAGAGAGGTCCCCACTCGCGTAAACCGGCTCTGAAGACTGGATTCAGACCTGTTTCAGTCAAGGGTCCCTTTTCCGCACCGTCACAGTCTGTTGGAGGCTTGGAGCTCTCTGTTGGAACCACAAGACACGACAATATGAGAGACAGCCCACAGCACGGCACCCGCCAACCGCGGCGCAAGGCAAAAGTTGCAGCTCAATTCCAGGATGAGGCAGAGCCCCGAGGTTCGTGCCCAGGGGTGGCAGGGCGGGCTGGCTGGCCAGGGTTCAGGTCCTGGAGGCTACCTTACTTTGCTCAGAACCACACGGCTGATTGCCTGTGACGAGGACAAGGTAGGCGGCGGGGGAACCTTGCGAAACGAAACGGTGCAACAACATCTCCGTCCCTTATTTTTCCTTTTCGCCACGAGGAAACACGCGTTGCTGCTTG